CTGAAAGCGCTTTCTGCTGGGTGGAGAACAAAGCAGGGATGGTGACTGGTCAACACTGGACGCAGAACCACACAGACAGGAGGCAAGACAACATCCTCCTGCGCCACATAATAGCATACCCTGAATACAGCAGAAAGGTCAAATACCTCATTTTGGAGGTAAATGGGCCAGATTCATTGAAGGGATAACAGGTGGATATTTTTCTTGAACGCCTTCTGGCTGAGGCGGCCTGGATGGGCTCTTAGGGAGCCCATAAACACCAGTCCTGACTGAACCAGAAGGATTATGGCTTCCTCCTCTGCAAAAACACCCCAACCCTTATCTTCCTTAAGACAATAAGCAGCCCTTGAAGCCTCTGGCACAGGTGACCAGGCCTGTGGGTTGAACTCGGGTCCTCACCAGAACATGTGGCATCTCACCCACAGAGGCACTATGCCAGCTCTCCCTGCGCTTCCCAGTACTCTGCATTCCCTTCCTAAACACCCTCCCGGAAAGGTTCAAGGGACTGAAGGGCTGTCTCAGAGCCTCTCCATGATGTCTGGAAAAGCTACGGTAGATCCTCTGGTCCTCTGTGCCTTCCAACAGTGAACTCGCTACCCTACCCCTACCCCTCCCCAAGGGCAAGCAGGCAGGCCCTGCTCCTCTGCACCCTGCTGCCAGCCGGTGCTCTTGGCAGCTCGCTTCCTTCCCACGCCCCAGCAACAGCGCAGGACAATTTCCCAGTAACCGTAATGGGAGGACTCCTCCAGCGTGCAGAGGTGGTTCCTGACCCTGGCAGTAGCTGCAGTGTCCTGAAATGTCACTGTACAGCACAGCTGAGGTGCCTCCCTCCTTCTCAAGCTGGTGTCCCTTAGCACAAGTTCAACAGCACAAAGTGTGAGGTCTTGTCTCACTTCAACTAGGTTTGCAGTATCTGGGCAAATGTAGCGACTCAAAGGATAAATTAAAGGAACTGAAAGGTCAACTGACCAAACTAATGTGTATGGTCTATGCTGTATAGACTCTTATCGTATGTGGACTCATTCATGGAGTCCACTGTCACCCAATGGGTTCATTTGAACATGGCTCAGCAAGGCTCTGCTGGGCTCAGCAGCAACGCAAATTGTATAGGGAGGGAGTTGGGGGAAAGAAGTCTCTCATTCAGGAGTGACAGGGACTGCTGAAAATTGGTATCAGATCATTATTTCATTACGTATTTCTGCAGACCACTGGAGTGGTCAGAACTGCTGCTACGACTTTCATAAAGAGGCCCAGGTCCCTGCAGCCTCCCAGCCTCCCTGTGCTGAAGCGTGGCTCAGACACATGGGCTTCGTGTCTGATGTGTCTAGAAAAGACCTGAACTGCACGAAGCTCCCAGGCCATGAATTTTGGTCCAGCCAATCCTTAGTGGACCCTTCCAAGTCCTGAGCAGGCTTCTCAAATTCTCTATCTACTACATTCCTGACTCTTTCTAAAATGCAGGAGAACAGGAAAACTTGGTAATCAAATCAGTTAAAACTGAATCACATAAAACAGGGCTGAAAAGGAACTGGAGACATTATCTAGTCCATCCCCCTTGACAGATAAATAATAGGAACGAGAGGCCTTAAGCAACTAGAACATCAGATGGCACAGTGGGAAAAAGAGACCACGACAAAATGGATTAGGCCAACCTACCCCCCAAGAGACCCAGGTTCAAATCCTGGCTTACGTCACAAGTGGAAGTGAGTTGGAGGTCTCCAAAAATGGTTGGAAAAAATTTGCATGGTAGTTTTGTCCTCAGCCCCTATCCTTTTTTTAAATTTTTTTTTCCCCCAAGTCTGGCAATAAGAAAAAACTGGTTTAATGCACCTCCTTGGACTTACTGTGTCCTTCCCACACAGGGGAGGGCAGCTGACACAAGTTGTCTCTCTCTCTCTCTCTCTTCCCCTTGTACCTGAAACTTCTGCATGCAAAGCAAAATTATCTGTATAGAGAAAGTAAGTGCCACTCTACTAAGCACCTGCGCAAACACCGTCTCTGGAGTGGTACTCCACCGTCTCTGGTATTATCCAGGCCCACATGGAACGTCTTTAACCGCAATACTCGGAAGGCATCCCTTCTGGAGACTGTCTTCCTGTTATGGTCAATGCATTTGTACCAGAAATTCAAGAAGCCGCTCAGATTGCATTTGTACAAGACACTGCCTTGAAAGACACCAGGGAAATGACGCCACCAGATAGACCGGGTAGGACTCCCAGACTAATATTAGTTTCTTGAAGATCAATCTACCAGGCTCAAGCATCATGCGATTCCTTCCTCCATACAGGAAGAGAACAGTTCAGTTTTTACCCAATGTACTGAAATACCTTTTGATTAGAGAAGTGTGTGGGGCAGGGGAAGTGCCTTTACAAAAAACATCTCCCAGTTACTGCTCAGATGAATCTGGCCTCTGGCCCAGGAAGGCTCCCAGTTTTCCACTTTTGTAAGAGACATGAAACTGGAAGAAGTTGTTTCAAGTTTAAGTAAATCATGAAAAAGGTTTCTCAGCTTTAACTCCTAATTTGGTTGAACTGGATGGACCTCAAATTAGTAATAAAATCATATAAATGTTTAAGAGGTGCAATAACAACATGGAATCTCAGGACTCACAGGCTGTAAAAAGACAGGTGACTCACTGCAACATCTGGTAGCTGCGGATACGTGTGTCATCTAACAAAAAGCATCCTTCTTCAGCATGCTGTGGCCTCTCCCGCCACAGCCACCTCTGCTACTCGGCATCTGTCCATGCCAGACATTTCAGGGGTGTTTAAACACCAGCTGATTAACCAGCCCTTCCGTACTGAGATGGAATATGTATCTATCGATCCCACAGATTTAAGAGACTGCTTCCCTGCTGCCTGGACATGTGAATGCTATGTCTCACATCCTATTTATTCATAGTTATTTTTCAGTGCTCTTTACCTTCTTTTTTTTTATCCTTTCTTTTTTTTTTAAGGTTTGATCTTGTTTGGAAGGAGGAAACGGAACTATGGGAGGATCAACCTTAACTTGAGTCTTCTAACACCTCTGTAATGGTTCTGCACCACTGATTTTGCTGCTGGAGCCCAGCTTATCTCTCGGTGGTTCCTGTGAGGAGCGGAGCCCTGTGAAAACACCTGTACTCCATTTCGCTTCCTCAGGCACAGGCCTAGCCCTGAAAATGTCGCCTTGAGGAAAACAAACACTAAATGCCAAACAAAGCTGAAAACCAAACAAAAATCCCCCTACCTGACAAGCCACTACGCCAATCCTTGTCAGGAAGCTCTCCTCAGTTTGTGACACCAGGATTTGAAACAGGGTCTTTTGTACCTCGTGGTTAACATGATGCTTAAAAAAAAACAACTGGGAAGAGGTAATAAAGACCTACTGCTGATCTAAATTTTCATTTACAACGTGCCAAAGGATCTCATCCCCTCAACTGCTTCTGGGAGTAGCTTTTCTGGGACAGTCATGGATGGAGCAGACTGAGTCCAGGAAGGGTCAAAAGCCAACCCAGGGCAGGATTGGACACTAAGCAGTTAAGAAAGTTGATGGTAGAAAGGCAATTGGTACCTGTGATGGCCTTGCTTCCTGGGGATCCAGAATTTGGAGCGCGGAACATCTGGGATTGGGATGCCGGTGGGACACCGGAGGGGGTGCGGTGCAGGAGGGTAGAACATCGGTTTATTGAAGCCGGTGTTTTTTTGCTGGATTGGCTCGCCTGTGTCTTCACTGCCACGAAGAGTGGAGATCGAGAGAACTCTGGATATGAACACTCAGAACTAGTGCCTGGACAGTCAGTCAGCTCCCAGATCGTGTGCCTTCTGGGAGGGTTGCTTTCTAACAACCATGCTCACGAATCCCTTGCATGGGGACCTGCAGTGACTGTGGATCCACTGATCCCATGTAACAAAATTGTTTTCCCCACTCACCCGAGGGGACAGATTCTTGAAGCTTATTAGTTCCCTTCCACACCTTTGACTGCCACGTGACCAACCCATTCCTCCTCCAGCAGGAATCACCCCATCCATCCAGGAGTACTATTTGATTGCCATGGCCTGGCTGGGTGCACCTGCATCTCTGTCCTCCATTTCTATATATGTAAGAGTTTGAATTTTGAGAGCAGGTTTCTAATGTGATACTCAGAGCTCTGAATAGGGAGAAGTTTACACCTTTGTTACTTGAGCCTTGCATAAATCCTAGAGATCTCCAGCTACATTCCTTGTCTCGCTAACCAAACACAAAGAAAAGGGGGCTGTTGGTAACGGAAGGGAATTAGGAGGCAGAGTTCTCATCCTGCAAGTCAGGAAAGGCCTTTTGGTCCCCATCTCCAGACAAGCACTGGTGACACGTGGAGAAATTCTGAATATTACTAGGATATGCTCTTTGCATAAATCTACATTTTGGTCTCTGCAATGCACAGTGAGAATCACCAGGAATGTTCAATGCCAAAAGTCATATGAAAAACCTTCGGGAGGACAACCCTTTGTCTAGGCCGCAGGAGTTACAAAAACAATTACAAACATGGAGAAACAACCTAACGACCCCCCTCATTCCCCAATGGAAATCTGGATACAGCTCCTGAAGCCAAGTCCCACTCCAATCATCTGCCATGAAGAATCACTAAGAAACAAGGTTCGCATAACCCACAGCCCAAGATCACCACCAGTAATTTCTATGGAGTGATATTTTAGGATGCCTAAAGTTGGATGGACAACACTAGCACCTGTTCATCCTAGATAGTATAATTCAGAAATACTTATCCACGTTCAGCAGTTCTCCATCATGGACTGCCATGGCAGCGCAACAGTCTGCCTCTGAAACAGGTGAGGAGAAAAGTCACCCAGACTGGGACTGGATGCTCATTTCCAAAATCCCATGAGACATTATAGACCTCGAATGTGAACTGCTTTCATCTCCCCTGTCCGCAGCCAGCAGCACTGGAGAGCGAGGATGTGTACATTCAAAGCAGCTTGCAAAAAGATCCTTGAAGGAAACAGTGTTTTGTTTCACTTGATCTGTTACACAGATCCAAGATGACATTTCCTGTAAATGTTAGTGTACTTCTGCAGGAGATTCTGCACTCGGTTTTCTCATAGTTCAGGTCAAGATACTTCTCCTCTGCTTGGTCTCTGGCCAGCTGAATAGGCAAGAGGCTTGCTTTTGCTTCCTAGACTTCATTTAAATCTCCATGGATAATCCTCCTCTAATTGCTGCCAAACTCCCAGTAAAAATGTAGTCAGATAGGACAATTTCCTGCTTAAGCATCATCTAGTTTCCCACGAGGACCATTCCCACCAAGTGCTGCTTTGTTCCCCATCTATACCAAGAGAAGCAGCAATCAGCCAGCTATTCAGTGTCAGAAACAAAAAGCATCCTCTGCAGTCCAGATACTGCTGAGATCTGAAGAAAAAAGTCTCAATGCTATGAAGACCTCCAAAATTACTTCTTTGTCCTCCCAACTTAAACAAATAGTATGTCTTCAAATTCAGATCCCAGAGAGAAGGCTGCTCCATCTGACACTAGGCAGAGACAGAGTTTGAGCCAGCGAGGCAAGACAGACAAAAGAATATTAGTTCTAGCAGTCTGGAAGATGCTAATAATTCATTGAAAAATGTTTTAGTTTTTAGTTCATCAGATGACAAATTCCCTCTAAGACTAAGCAACACAGGTAGAGACGATCATGTAGCTCCCCTGTTCTGCTCTTGAAAACTCATCTTCACTGTGGAACTCACTGCCTCAGGCTGATGAAAAGGCCAAGTTCAAGATATTTCCAAAAATGAAAATACTGAGTTGCTGAGTTACAAAAAACTCCTGCCTCAAAATCTGCAGCTAGACAGCAAGGCTGGAGACAGCATGGTGAACAGGCGATCCCCTAACTGCTGCAATGAAGTTTTTTAAACTTCCTCAGAAAGCATCTGAGGTATCCCCCAGTTGAAGCTGACATACTGGAGAGGTGAGGGCAGGAAAGAAGTAATGCAGAGGGTAAGTCTCACCGAATGATCTCCAATCAGTTGGTAAACTGAGGGCACTGTGCTACAGCCGCACAGAACGGCACACGGTGTGCTACAGAGTACCGATGATACAGGTGACCCTTAAAAGATGGGGACTCTGCCTTGGCAGCAGGAAAAACACCTTGTTCATTGCTGTGCTCGGTCATGACGGCTGTAGAGGAGCTCCCAGGGCAATGATGCAGCTAAAGAGACTGAGGTTCTCTTTGGGTATGCAATCAGGGCACTTTCAAAGGGGATGAGGAAGACAAGGTTAGCTCTCAGTTCCTTCACTAGACCCAGCGCTGCTGCATGCCCTTCACGAAGGTGGTTAACAGACTTGAGAATATTCAGATGAGAAGGCAAGAGGATAAATAAAGGACAAGAGCAGCATAGCTTACAATGGAAACATCAAGTCACTCCTTTGGCTTAACTGGGAGGTTGGTCACTATGAAGTGACTTGACAACAGGCTATGCAAAGCTCTAGAAAGGACAGAAATTTGGTAACTTAGTCCTCCTTCACCTAGCAGACAAAGTTATAAATAGGATCCAGTCTCTGAAAGCTACAGCTGGATATTTTTAGTCTTAATTTAGTGAGGGTAATAATTCATCAAAATAATTACCTTAAGAGGTTGCTGTATTTTCTGTCACTCTTAACAGCAAGATTAGATGTCTCTCTAAAACATGCATGTGAGCAATTAAATCAAGGCAATCCTATAGCATGCGTTACTCCGGTCGGTCCAGAGATCACAGTGGTCCCTCCTGGCTTTCCTGTCTTTGGTAAGACCTTCAAGCCCTGTGAATGGCAAGCTGTGGCAGTAAGCAGAAAATCTGGCAGACATCTCAACCTGTCTCCTCGAAGGATACATAAAGCCACACACTACCACAATGCACCACCACAATAGAACAGAGATCAGATTATCTCAGTGACCTTGCTTCTTCCAGGTAAAAATTCTGGCTAATAATGTGTATCACATTTTTTCAGAAAGATCTTGTCAGGATGGATAAGGAACAATCCATGGTTCAGATGGAATTATACCATCACCTCTGGAGAAAAACCTTCTTTAATTAATATGATGGAAAGTGATTCCTTAACAATGGCCTGAAATTCAGTATGCTGAACGGAAACCTCTGCTACTGGAAACAGGTCTTTCCACAGGAAAAAGCCTGTGCTCAAACCTATTGAATTCTTGATGCTGCTTTATACGTACAAACAAATATTGCCAATGGAGCCTGTTGCTAAGGCACTGTGGGATCAGAGAGTGGGAAAAACAGCTAAACTCACACATTTCACTCATGGAGATGAAGGAAGCAAAGACACACCATCCAACTGGAATCTGGATCTGTTTTTCTGTTGGTTAGGCAGGATCTGTGTGGAAACTAGACATGCTTCCAAAAAGGATCCCTTTCCCTAAGAGAAAAAGCCACGATGGCAGCTGCCTTTAAGAAACACTGTGCTTAAGCACTTTTGATGAACAAATTGTATCCAGTGTCCTTCACGTCAAGAAAAGTAACTGAGCAGGGAGGCTTGATGAACTTCTTGAGCATCTCAGGTGCCAGGGTGGATGTAGGTCTGTCTGTCCCCTACAGAGCCAAGTATGATCACAGGGCTGGCAGGGCAGGGTCTTCGACAGCCAGGACCCATCCCACAGACCCTGAAAAAGGTGAGCAAGGCAGGACCAGAGATGACACCCAGGTTCAAGCAAGAGTCCAGATCATCAGGAAGGATATGGCGATGAGACAGGTCCGTGGTCAAGCTGTGAAGTCAATCCACAGGTCAGGGGCAGGATCAGCTCTGGTGAGGATAACCAGGGCCAGACACATACCAGCGATCCTCAGGGAGGTCCAGAGTGAGGAGACAGGTTGACGTCAAGCTGGGAAGTCAGTCTACGGGTTGGGGTACAGCCCAATGTGACCCATGGCCAGGCATGGGCATGTCTACAACTGAGCTGGAGACCAACATCCTACAGTCTAGTTCAGGCAGGGGCTGATGATCCAGAGCTGAGCTGAAATAGGGGGTTTGGATGTGGGGGGAGGCCCCATCTGAGGCTGGTCAGGGCCATTAAGATCTGTTAGTGCACTCAGGGCCCTGACAGCACTTTAGATTTTCATCCTGGAAGCAATGGACATGGATAGTTGTGCAGATTTTAGCACTCTCACAACATAGTTCCGTGACCAGGGAGTCTGTTGCCTTATCTGCAGTTACCAGAAGAGGATGCGGTGAGTGCACGCTCCTGAGCCTGCACTTAACAAGCTAAAACCCACTCTCGGTGGCTTTTCTAGCCAGTCCACATCCCAAATGCACTAGGTTTTCTCTGCATTGTAAACGCATCATCTGAGAGCAATCACAATAGCCCAGACACCTGCAAATGTGGTTAAATCAGTTCCATCTTCCAGAGCAGACAGAGCCTGGAGGAGGACAGAAAGAAATCTCTGAACCCTCCCCCTGTGCACCACCGTTCAGAGGCATTTCTAAAACTGGGACAACAAACGTGCCTACAATCTACTTTTTTTGGAAACAGCCTCTGACACTCTTCTTAGAAAGAGTGAATAGGCTGACAGAAACAGCATAAGAATATGTATTTTAAAAGAGTAATAGCCCAGTTCTGAGCATATGAAAAAGCCCCTACTCCTCATTTACAAAAGGGAACTTTTGAAGGAGACATTTGGCATTAACAATTCCAGGGAACCCCACAGCAGAGCTCTTTTCCAAACAGCAGGTATCCAGCAGCACTGACCAAAAATTATCCTGCAAGGTCCTATTGACCCTGCAGGATATAAGTCCTTGTTTTAGCCCATTTTCAATAATTTTTTATCCATTATCACAGAAAACCAGAAAGACAGGCTCCGGAAGGGAAGCTTGCATTCAAGCAGAGAGACCCAGAAAGCTGGATTGGTAATGCTGAAGTGTTTTCCTCACCCACGCCCACTATGGCTGTTTTTTCAGCATTTGCCTTATAACCACAAGAACAAGACCAGGGTAAAGACACAGTCTCAGCTTTACTTCTTCTGACTGCTAGGGCCTGAGAAAAGCCAGTTGTGCTTTTCAGAAGTCATGTGTTTACAGCTGCCCCACAGGACCCTGGTTTATAGGAAGAGCAGAGTCTGAGCAGTAGAAAGGTGGGAGGACGTACTGGCCAGCCTGCCTTGGGAGCTAATCATGCCCTCTCCTGTGTGCTCATCAGGGTTAGTGGTTCGTCACTGTAAATCATAAATCTTACTGGTCATGGGAACTAGGAGAGGAAAAAAAAAAGGGTTAAAGAAAAAAAAAGGGAAAAAGAAAAGTTTATCGGGAGGGGGTTAAACCTTATGAAAATATTATCCTGATCTGACCTTAAGTATCCTCATAGTTAAAGATGTTTGCTGAAAGGACTGGAAACCCATCCGCACATCTCAGTGCTGGTCTAGGCTGCAGCAGGGGCAGCTTCTTTTGCTTTCTCAAAGGTTACAGCAGAAACCATGGTGCAAGAATGGCTTCAACCCCAGCATTCAAAAGAATGTCCCTCCTCCTCCAAAACTGGCTCCCAGGAGTCAGAAAGTGGGCATCAGGACCCTGCAGCTGCACTCTGCACAGGACGAAGGGCAGTATCTGTGTGGACCATTCGTATCTGCAGTCAGACCCGCAGGGCCCACTTCAGGCAAATACCTCTCAGAGAACAACAGTTGTGTTTTTCTTTTATGCCGGATAGCCTGGACCACAACCAGCAGCTGCAGCCTATTACTACAGATGGCTGGGAGGGTGGAGAGATATCCATAGCGATAAATCCCCTTGAAATGGGAAGTGCTGGGAAGGTAAGAATCTGTTCTTGCTGAGCAAGGATTCCATGCACAGTCCTTACAGCATACTGCTCCTTAGCTATCTGACTAGAGACACCAAAGCCTTGGTGTCTTGAGGGCCCATCCTACTAGGAGATTGACCTACTGCTGATCACCACCAACGGCTTTTCGGAGGACCTGAAAACACCTGAATTAAGAGGTGGAGTTTGGGGGTGCAGGCATGTGTAGGAATAACTGTCATGTGTGCAATCATAAGGGTTAGTTCCCTTGGGCAGATGGGAGATAGTAAGACTAACTTTGTGATGATTCTGGTAGAGGTATTTTATGCCCGACACCTTCTACCGTGATCTTGGTCCATCTCCATGCTCCAGAGAACCTGCATGGGAACCACCAAGCCTTGATCCACCTTAAAAGTGAGAGTCTGGTGGACTACATTCCCAATTTATTTCTATATATGTCTAAAACCAAATCTTCCTTATTATAATAACTTAAAAACCTAACTAAAGCTGAATTTGGTGTGGAAGGAGTGTGCGCTCCCTCTGCTGGATGTGGATGAGCAGCTAACGATACCCACTAAGCTAATGAGCTCAGCTCATCCATCCTCATCATCAGCCAAACTGCTGACAGCTGGACAGACATGGGCATAAAGCAACCATGCTGGCTCACGGCATTAACATCACAATAAAGCACAGGGCAATGCTATGAAAGAAGCATGAAGTTCAGGTGTAAAGAACTTCTCTGCATACTTTTAAAGCATCCAAAACCAGAATGTAGCAAGAATTTCTCTCAAATGTTTTACTAAAATTTTGCACTGAATTACACTTAATTGCTCATTAAAACCTCCCCCTTGTCTGGGGAGTGCAGATCGTAGTGTCCCTCCAGAGTGCAGATCGTAGTGTCGTGTAGTATGCTGAGAACTGCCTTTTCCCGAGCTCCCTGAAATAAATATTTTATTGCCTGTGATTTAGTAGCAAGCTGCCAAGGTAATTTACATGATTTTGAAAACCAGTTTTAACTCACTGTCTGAAATAATTTCTCAGAAGCTCGTAAGAAAGACGCTTCTTCCCTAGCATGTACGTTCACTTATTCTTTAGGGGAGTCTAAAAATTTTGTGCATCACTTCAGTTAAACAACAAAATCAAATATCAAACCCCCAAGGAACATACGTAGAATTGCATGGACTTTGGTAAAAGTTCAGTGACATTACAGACCCAACAGTAACAGTGTCCCTCTGAGAAGAGATTCCAGCTCAGCTTTACAGTGCCCTGGTCAGCACACGATCTATGGTTCTGCCAGCTGCAATCCCACAGGTCCAGTGGAAGGATCCACAAGAACGATACTCTCTCCTGCAACCCTCGGGTTTACCACCAACCACCGTAAATCGCAGTCTGTAATGAAATAGATCTCCAGCAGAATACTCACTAATAGGTGCATGCAGCGCCACATGTTCTTGGTAGGGAGTGTAGTATTTGTACTGCTTGCCACAGAATTCACAGGTGTAATTGCCAGTTTCTGTGAAGATGAGACAAATACAAAGATCAGAAAGGAGTGCAGCACCCTCTCACGCAATCACCGTCGTCCTGACTTTTTACATAGAAACTGGCCGGGTGACAAAACCTAGAGCATATTCCTCATGCACCTGGAACTTATCTGCTCTGTAATTCACACATTCTTTGCCCCAACGAAGGAAACAGTTCAAGCCGGTGTCCAGAGTGACGGACCGTGCATAAGAAGTCCAGCAGAACTGAACAAGCTACAGGAGATTATCCCAAAATTACAGCAAGTAAGTGTGCAAAACGAAGGAGAGAATCCAATTCTAAAGTCTATGTTACAGATGGCACAGTTTTGTCTTCTGGTTACAGGCAGCCTGTGATGTGTGGACAACGGGAACAGTCAAACTAGGAAACAGGTTGTCAAGTTTAAGTCTTAATTACAGAACTTCTATATTGGAATTGTAGATTTCTCTTGCAGGAGGAGGGGCTTTTCTGCAATAACTGTGTTAATTCCCGCTTTGGGGGTACTTGAAATAATGAAGTAGTGTAACCATACACTGACACCTCCCGCTCCTGCCAGCGCTGGTAAGTACAGAACTGACAGCAAGCTGCAGGCCAAAGGAAAATCCAGGGTTAATCAATTATTTCCAAACTGGAGAATTCAGAGAAATGCTTCGGCAAAGCCTGGTCCTCTCTTTGGTTCACTCTGATCTGTTTGATGAACCCATCACAAAGGCAGTGTGAATGCAAGCACCTGCCAGCTCTGCCAATACAGCGTAAGACCCCCTCTAATCCCTGCCAGCCTGCTTTTCTCCTGAACCTCTTCCCTCTTCTCTTTGCAGAGCTCTTGAGCAGAAAACATCACAAAGCTGCATTTCTTAGGGCCAGGGATGCTGGTATTTGGTGTTCATTTGAACCTAAACATGTCTTTCAGCACCCCTAAGGTCCGAACACCTCTGCATAACACAGTGTTTTCTGGTTTTCCTAGAGGTACCCCAGCTAATGCCAGGTTTGAAACCCTTGTACTGTCTCTTTCACATTCCAAGCTGTATAATAACTCATACTTGGACCAATCTTCTGGAATGGCTCTGGCTCCTCCTCCTTCACTTCATCTGCTGCTATGACGGCCTGGTCATAGGGGTCTGCAAGAGAACAGAACCAGCAAGAGAGCTGACAACACCTCAGGTTTTCCTTCTACAGCTGCATGGGCACTGAATGCTCCTGCATCTGTAATGACATTTCGATCTGTAACAAGATTTCAAGACAGGAATTATAAACCCAATGACCCCTCTGTCTGACTCGTCCCTCCTCCTCCTCAGGTGCCCCAGGCAGATATTATCCCCCCTCTTCCAGCCCAGTAACATGCCCTGTAGGTATATAATGTTTAAAAAATACAGAGAAAGACTGAACAAACACATTGCAAAGCCTGATTCATATTTTCTTCCAGTGCATCTCCTATCTAATGATGTTATACTGTCTCAACGTGGGCACGGTAATGCAGTCTGCAAGCAAGTTAGCTAAAAAACACTGATCAGTGACTTTCTACCATCTAACAGCACAGCTAGCAACGTACCCAACCCGTTTTATAAAATAATTTAATTTATGCCTTGAACAATTCAACAGATCACCAGAGACATGAAACACCTGCTGCTTTGATTTTCAAAAGCCTGATCAATTTTATGTACAACAAAAGCCTGGTATCTACTAGGGCTGGGCATAAACCTACTGGCTGTACACGTTAGGGGAGGGAGAGAGGATGCTCCTCTCCTGCTGCAATCAGTGACAAAACTCCCTTGACTCTTACAAGTGTAGCATCGGACCCGCTGTGCCCGAATTACTCAATGTTTGAAAAGATTTGTGAAATAAAGCACACAAAGGATCTCGGCTTACCTGCCCGGTTTTCTGGGGCCCCTTCCACACTAAAAACTAACGTAGAATAGAAGAAGGAGGGGAAGAAACAAAACAGAAATTAAATCCTCTTAAATGGCCTTGTTTTCCTCCTGTATTTCATGTACTGCTTCAGCATATTTCAGCCCCACAGAATAAACCAGGCTTTGTGCCCCAGTCCCTCCTCTTCCCAGCAGCATCCACACAGGAACTATTTGAGCATGCCCAGCCCTAATATACACAGATTCTCAAGGCCTTTGTTCTGACACTGACACAGCCCCACGTGAAGTTCAGATGCACAGCTGCCTCACGCTTGTGTTTGCTAAGACACAACCGGCCCCTTGGAGGAACTGAGACAAGCAGTGTCCTTGCAAGACACAAGTGGAAGGCGATGCCAAAGCCCTCTCGTAACCCTAGGCAGAGCTCCCTGAACCATAGCTAGGAAGACACGTTTCTGACAGAAGCAGACACGTTCATCTCACAGTGACTTTCGGTCCCAGTAATTTAATTTTGGCTCCCCAAGGGAGGAAGGGAGCTTGCAGTGGTGCACTGCCAGAGAACGCTGGCTCTTCTTAGAGCACGTTCAGATGTCCCCATGTTCCAGCTAAAAACAGCATTTTTTTTTTTTGACACCACGCATTGTGAAAAACCGCTTGCTTTTCTGAGACAGTCCAGCCATCAAAACCTTCTGCTTTCCAAGCAGCCTCTTTCTAAAATTCTGCCAGGGCTCCCTCCTTGGCCAAGTGAGAAGCAATACCAACGCAGTGAGGGTTTGGAGCATCTGTGGGCTCTGAGCTGAGGAGCTTTAAATGCCCAGAAAGCAAGGGGCAAGCCAAAGACAGTATGTTGTTCCTTCTATTTCCCCCAATGTAGAAAAAAGAACCACTGTTTCTGGAGGAGGGTGTCCGCTTCTGTCTGAGTGTCACCCGCCTAGGCCACATCTACATTCACGGAGGAAAAATTGGCCTGTAAGGTCCACTGACAACTACATCAGTTCACTACCACAGTGATTAACAGGAACGAAACAACATTTCCCAACTCTGAAATGTGGTTTCTCACAGAGAAGCATGTTGGGAACAATCTTGTGAAGTCAGAAACCAAAAGGCAACCAACTGTTGCCCAGCAAGTAGCCAGACTGACAATTTACCTTGAGGCACGCAGTTCTCGCATATCCATCCTAACCATGAACCTTAATACAGACAGGAGGACTGCAAGGACCACAGGTCCCAGCAGAGGGTGTTATTTTGATGCACGCAAAATGAATCAAGCGCAGCAAACTTCTTGCAGGGCCTGTGGACTGTGCCTCCGCTGACAAAGGCGAGCGAGCCATGCTGTGCAATGTCCCGTACATCACGGGCCGCATGGTCCTGCAGAACCACATTTTGCTTTCCCCAACGACTTCTCATTCTAGTTCGGGTGTCTGAGTGTGAAAACAGTACTCACCATCCACGGCATGTAGGTCTCTGTGCTCTTGGAAGCAGCTATAATATTTATATTTTTTCCCACATATGTCACACGTGTACCTAAAATTGTCTGTAGGAAGAAAACAGGCCACTTTAGAAACTTTGAGGTAAAAGGCAAGCACTCCAGCCAACGCTGCTCAGTCAGACACCCCCATGCAGTTACATTCACCCCACAGGCTCTGTCACACCTCTACGGCACGCAGGCAACCACTGCTTCACGATGACCCCCGCCTGCCCCACGCTATACAGCTCGGGGCACATTCTGATCTGGTATTTGCTATTCAGGCAGCTCTGCTCTCCAGTACAGCCTCCAGAAAACCGCACGGCAATGAAGACACAGAGCAGCAGGCCCTGCTGAAATCTCCTTTGGAAGTTCAGGGCTACAGTAGGCAAGTACTGGTCAGGATGGGGACAAACTGGCAGAACTAAACACAGAGCCAACGTATGAGCTGTTAGAAGTCCAGGTCTTAAAATGCCAACTACGACACGGACTGGATGTGCCTACACGCTCCTACCACGCTTGGTTCTCACTGCTGCTGCTTACTGATTACTAACTGCATCCAAGATCCTGCGTGGGCACATTGTAACAAACAAAACCAAAGAGAACCGACAATCCAAAACACGCAGGACAGTAAGGTACTCAATGAACAGGAGGACTGACGGAGCCTGGTTTCATGTATGCTTGTACCCTAGACCCTCTCCCTTCATCCCAGCAACAACAGACCCCCGTCACCACAGCTGCGTGGGGAAGACAGACGGATGCAAAAGAACTCGAGATGCTTATGAATTCGCTTTGGTCTGACTGGGGACAACGAATGTCTTTGGCTCAGCTATCACATCAGTGTAAGAGGAAAATTTCACTTGTCAACTTGGTGGGGTTTTTCCATCCTCCGATGCCTGACATACACCTCGGGGTGCAGACTGACACCCACAAGTAGTCGCCACACTGCAACTCGCAGTGTTGTACTGGCCGGCTGACCGCAGCAGCCGATGGGTTGCGTGCTACCAGCCCGCTGCAAAC